CTGCTGCTGCTACTACTCCTGTCACGCTGCTGCTGCTCCTGCTCTTCCTCATCAGGAGAGGAGGAGAAGGAGGAGGAGGAGGAGGAGGAGGAGGAGGAGGAGGAGGAGGAGGAGGAGGAGGAGGCGGAGAAGGAGCAGGAGCGGCACCAGCGTGAGAACGACGAAGACGATGGCAGATCATGGGGAGCAGAAGGCACCAGAGAAATGAGCAGCAGGGAGAGAAGGCGAGCAGGCCAACGAGGCGGACGAGGAACAACATTCGTAGCACAGCGAAGGTTTGAAAGGAGGGGGATGGTGGAGCACGCGTGGACAACAGAGGATGCTCCACCAGGTCGTCCTCCTCCTCCTTCTCCTCGCTCCTCCCTCCTCCTCCTCCTCCTCCTCCTTCCTCCTCCTCCTCCTCCCTCCTCCTCCCTCCTCCTCCCTCGCATACAACAGATTATGTAACATTATTTTGGGAGACCGCATACTCCACATTTCTCCGCCCCGAGGAAAGAGGGGGCGGACAATGGCAGTGTAAAGTTGAGTTGCTGTCGCGAGGAACGCCGGCTCTCTGAGGGACCAAGCTCAGTTTGGGCCCCTAAGAGCGCCTGGGTGCACGATGGGCACATGGTTGGAACGACTGCGAGCCTCCGAGAGGGAGAAGGAGGAGGAGGAGGAGGAGGAGGAGGAGGAGGAGGAGGAGGAGGAGGAGGAGGAGGAGGAAGGGAAAAGATGGGAGGAGGAGGGAGGAGGAGGAAGAGGAGGAGGAGGAGGAGGAGGAGCAGGAGGAGGAGGACGAGGAGGAGGAGGGGGAGGAGGAGGAGGAGGAGGTGGAGGAGGAGGAGGAGGAGGAGGAAGAGGAGGAGCAGGAGGGTCCCGAGGAACATCGAGCCCCTTCCGCAGCGAGCCCCTTCCAGACCCGAGAGCAACTCCTCACGCCACCGCCTTGACTGCAGCCCCAACCAGGAACGGTAGCAGTTTATGGGTATCTTCTGCGACCCCCCCCATCTCTGGAGGGTACCCTTAGGGAAGGGGGGGACTGGCTGCAGGGGGGAAGCATCGACTGCGGAGGAGGGTCCATTGAGGGCCTCCGAAAAAAGGAAGGAAAAACCTCAGGGCCGCCTCCATCGAAGGATAATTTTTGCAGCTGCTGACAGAGGTTCCATGGTCCTGATCCTCCTCCTCCGCCTCCTCCTCCGCTCCCAGGCGGGAAAGGGCAATCGGGCCATTATCGGCGATCTATGGGCGATGGGGGGGGTTCGAAGCATCCCCCCCTGAGCATCCTGACGTTACCCCCGGTTGTTTTCGGATCACGACTCGGGCCTCTGGCGGCCGTTCGGGACGATCTGGGCACCCCTGGAAACTTCTCAGCGGGGCGCGGGCAACCGCTGAGGACAGACTAAAAGGCCCGAAAACCTCGAACCTCGATTCCGGGAGACCTGTCCCCTCTGAGCCTGTCCCCCCTGCTCCCCATCGCTCGGACGTCCATTCCCAGCGCATGTTTCGGTTTCGAGCGTGGTTTTTTTCGCAGGGTGGTCCTCGCCGAAGAGAAGAAGTGCAAACGATGACCTGTCGCGGGGTGCTCCTCGATGCTGTTCGCAGGACGCGCCTCGAGGGCCCTCGCCGAAGGGGAGCCGCGCACGCGCCCGAGCGATGCCAGGCCGGGCGCTGCCCCTGACCCTCGCCCCCTTCCGCGGGGGAGGCCGTGCCGTCCTGCTCGCAGAAGCACCGTACCAAGGGGTGCGCCTCGCTCCCCTCCGCGCTCGCCTGCGCGAGGACGGCGGCGGCGTAGCCTCCATCGGCCGGAGGGACACAGACAAGGCCTCTTTTTGTTGGCACGCCCCATATGGCGCAAAGGAATTCAACACGACGAACAATTAGCCAGGCGAAGGACCCAACCATATGCAGTTGCGAGTACCGCAATTGTGAATATCTTCTTCGGTGGAGCTTCCTATGGGGCCACGAAGCGCTGTACTGGGTGGGTGAAACGCAAGGAGCAAGGGCTGTGCTGGGTGGTGGCTGACGCACGCGGGCGGTGCCATTGACACCTTCGGTGGAGCTCCCTATGGAGCCACAGAACGCTGCACTGGGTGGGTGAAACGCAGGGAGCAATGGCTGCGCTGGGTGGTGGCGGACGCATGCGGGCGATGCCACTGGGACCTTCGCTGGACCCCCTAAGGGGCCACGAAGCGCTGTACTGGGTGGGTGAAGCGCCGGGAGCAAGGCCTGTGCTGGGTGGTGGCTGACGCATGCGGGCGGTGCCACTGGGACCTCCGGTGGAGCTCCCTATGGGGCCACGAAACGCTGTATTGGGTGGGTGAAACGCAGGGAGGAGGGGATGTGCTGGGCGGTGGCCGGCGCATGCGGGCGGTGCCAGTGGGACCTTCTCTGGAGCCCGCTATGGGGCCACGAAGCCTTGTACTGGGTGGGTGAAACGCAGGGAGGAGGGGGAGAGGGGGCCACGAAACGCTGTATTGGGAGGGGGGGACGCATGCGGACGGTAGACCTGGAACCTTCGGTGGGGCTCCCTATGGGGTCACGAAGCGCTGTACTGGGTGGGTGAAACGCAAGGAGGAGGGGGAGGAGGGCCACGAAACGCTGTACTGGGTGGGGGGGGACGCGTGCGGACGGTAGACCTGGAACCTTCGTTGGAGCTCCCTATGGGGCCACAGAGCGCTGTACTGGGTGGGTGAAACGCAGTTAGGAGGGGGAGGAGGGCCACGAAACGCTGTACTGGGTGGAGGGGACGCATGCGGACGGTAGACCTGGAACCTTCGGTGGAGCTCCCTATGGAGCCACGAAGCGCTGTACTGGGTGGGTGAAACGCAAGCAGGAGGGGGAGGAGGGCCACGAAACGCTGTACTGGGGGGGGGGACGCGTGCGGACGGTAGACCTGGAACCTTCGGTGGAGCTCCCCATGGGGCCACATAGCGCTGTACTGGGTGGGTGAAACGCAGGTAGGAGAGGGGGAGGGCCACGAAACGCTGTACTGGGTGGAGGGGACGCATGCGGACGGTAGACCTGGAACCTTCGGTGGAGCTCCCTATGGGGCCACGAAGCGCTGTACTGGGTGGGTGAAACGCAAGCAGGAGGGGGAGGAGGGCCACGAAACGCTGTACTGGGTGGGGGGGACGCATGCGGACGGTAGACCTGGAACCTTCGGTGGGGCTCCTTACGGGGCCACGAAGCGCTGTACTGGGTGGGTGAAGCGCAGGGAGGAGGGGGAGGAGGGCCACGAAACTCTGTACTGGGTGGAGGGGGCGCATGCGGACGGTAGACCTGGAACCTTCGGTGGGCTCCGTATGGGGCCACGAAACGCTGTACTGGGTGGGTGAAGCGCAAGGAAGAGGGGGAGGAGGGAGGAGGAGGGGGAGGAGGAGGAGAGGAGGAGGAGAGGGGGAGGAGGAGGAGGAACGAGGGGACCGTCTCTTCAAAACGAAGACCCAACCCTTCAGGATGGTTGGGAACAACGAAAAACAAATGCGTAAAACACGCGACGAAAAACACGACGAAAGCGAAACAAATCAGCAACTTAACGCAAGGCAATTTGCGTCGCAACGAACAAAAAACACCGATGCGGAACGGCGACTGGGTGCCCTCGGGGCGCCCACGAGCTGAGAGTCCGGAAGACGTTGCCCAATCCCTCACGAACTGGAAGAAAAAAAAACCCCTTATGGGACGCACAGAGACATACTGATGCTATGTGTCCTCCTTGGAGGCGCGCGTCCGATCCGAGCATACAGAACACCCATCTTGTAGCACATCGTTTCGCGAGCGGTGCGGCCAGGACGCGCCCGCCACGGCGCAGATGCCCGAAGATTTCTCGGTGCGCGCGTCGCCCCTGGGAGGGCAACGCGCATATCGTGTAAGTATGTTGGGGTGACGCTGACAGTCGGCCCGTGTCATAAGGATGCGCGATGAGGATGCGAGGGCCTTCGGCGCCCATCTCGAAGCTTCTCGAGAGGGGCGCGGGGCAACGGAAGTGGCGGAGGATGGACCGAGGAGGCACGGATGCAAGGGTGCCGTTGGGAAGCTTGCCCATCCGGACGATGCGGGTTGACTGTGCAGCAGACACGTGCGATAGCGCATACTGCTTGCAAGACATCTTGGGGCGCTTTCTTCGCCGATCTTTCAGGGTCCTCAGGTGCCCCAGACCTTCTGTGGGCCTCTGGGGCGATCTGGGAACGAGGGACTTCCAAAGGGCACCTGCCTGCAGGCCGCTTTGTTGCTTGACGTGCCCTTCGTGGCGCAAGCAGCGGGCGGCTCGAGCAGAACCGAGGCGGCCGCTGGATGTTTGAAGCTCAACTTCGGGTCCAGGGCCCCAAGGTGAAGCTCAACTTCGGGCCCAGGGCCCAAGGGCCGTCCAGGAGCCAGCTCGGGATGAAAAGCTCGTCCCGGAGACGGGGGAATGGGGCCGAAGTGCCTAGAGGGCCATGCTCAGCAGAAGTCGAGCCGCTAAAGGACTGCCGAGCATGTCAGCATCTCAAAGGCTATGTTGCTCCCATCGTTCTTGAGGACCACATCCTAGAAATAATTTTGAGCACCCGGAAAAGTGTCGAAACAGTGTCGAAGCAATGTCGAACACGTATCGCCTCCCCGGGCCCGACACGTGATAACCCTTCAATTTCGGTACTTTCCTGGTGCTCGAAACTCTTTCTGGTGATCAAGGCCAAAGTCTGTTGGAACATCATAAGCCCAGAGGGCCATGCTCAGAGGAAAAGTTGAGCCGCTGGGGGACCGCCGAGCAGCTCGGCATCTCCAGGGTAGGAAGGCACAATTTTCCGGGTGGGGTCTGGGCTTCTCCGGGGCGATTTCGGGGAGGGGGTGGGCACTGACCTGACCTGGGGACTCTTCAAAGTACCAAATATAGAGGGCAGACAATCCACCCCGATAATAACCACCCCGACACGCGAAGCCGTTTAGTAAACGCACCCAAATAAGGACTCAAACAGGGCAAGGCTGTTTAGTAAACGCCCAGGGCCGTTTAGTAAACGCCAATTGTCAGGTCTGCGTGGTTTTTCCTCTTTTGATCAAGTGCCCCCTGATATACCCTACAGCCGCGTGTCATCAGAGCTGCGGCCAAGAAGCATCAAGAAGCCAATGACAAGCTTAGCTGCCCGCCCACGCTGACGTGCTCAGCAAAGTGCATATCGGAGTGGTGGGGTGGATTGAAGTCCGCGGGGCACCACCGAGTCCCATAGAGGACTTCGACTCGACTGGACACAACCTCTGCTCGGAGCCAATGTGGTGCAAGCGCTGGTGCGCGCCTGTGTGCACGTTGCGTAGAGATCGCTCGGATGGCGAAGTCTACATGCGAGATGTGACCGCGGAGCCAATGCATCATGGCAGGATCTTGGCGTGCTGTGCAAAATATCCGCCGTGCACGTGGCAGACGACTTACCATAAGCGACCAACAATTCCTTGCAGGCTGCTTCCAGACAAACCTCATACGACCAAATACCCGGAGCAGCCCGCGACCCAAAAACTAAGGATCAGATGCCGAATTCTCATGAATGGACCGCCCATTTGCTGGCAACAGCCACTCTGAACACTCTGGCCATGTGGCGGGCTCGTCGTGCACAGCCGGCGCACGCGCACGCGCGACACTCGAGGCAACAGCGCCCCCTGCGGCAAGGACCTTCCCCCCAAAGACGCCCTCTGTATCCTTCGCTCTGGAGCTGCTGCCCTAAGCGATCAGCGCATGGGACGCGTTGCTCGAGCCTCTCGTCGTGAACTGCCCAGCGGGAAAGGTCCTGGCCCTTCCCGCGTCCGCCCTCCGCGCAGACGATGCCTGGCAACAGACACGCCTGCGCGCATCTCACGGACCACAAGGGAGCACCAGAATGCGCTCGAGGCTATGAGGACAGGATCCCACCAAAGATCCCACATAGTGACATAGTGCAATCTATGCTGCGGATTTGGGAAACCCTGAATCCAAAAACGTGTTCATCTCTTGGGGACACATTTTTCACTTCCGCCGCCTTCCGCCGAGCTTCCGCCGGCGGAAGCCGGCGGAACGGCCTCGTTTCACTTCCGCCGACCTTCCGCCGCCCTTTCGCCGCGGAAGAGATGACAACTCCTTCTATCCTCGCATACAAGGCCTTTTTGTTGAAACGCCCCATGTGGTGCCAAGCAATTCAACACGACGACGCACCACGCAGGGCAATATGCGCCTCGACGCAAGAAAAACAAAAACGAAATGGCGACTGGGTGCCCACGGGGCGCCCACGAGCCGAGAATCCGGAAGACGCTGCCCAATCCCTCGCAAACTGATAAAAAATAACCCATTCGTGCAAAAGACTTTTCGGACATAGCTCTGGAGGTAGGAAAGGGGTGTGGCATAAAGGGGTGTGGTGCCAATCGTGGAAATCGAGACGCTGTCTACGATAGATGACATCGCCAGACTCAGCATTGGCACCACACCCCTTTATTATGCCTCACCCCTTTCCCACCTCCAGAATAATAGCAGTGAGAATGCTAGTAGTGTCGCTGGCCAGGGCGACCGCAACGGTTGCGAACGGGCTCAAAATTTGGAAGCCGAAGCCAGTTCCTTATGAAACACATACGAGCTCCTTGTGCATGCGCTGTGCGGGAATATTGTACCACACAGGTGAACTTGCAAATTACACCATTTCTTGTAAATGCTGGGCTGCTCTAAGGAAGGGGCAGGATATCCTATGCCTTGGGGGTCCGAGGTGTCCGCTGTCGGGGCGGGATGACATCCTTCAAAGAGAAAGTAAAGTTCAATCAAACAAGTTGCAATGTTTGTGCAGAGTCAGCAAACATATCTGTCTTCTAAAGCTCAATCTTGGTGAGCTCTCTGAAACGTAAAGAACCGGTCATCGGTGGATTGCCATCGAACATTACAGACACATCGCAATGCCTCAGATGCGCAGGAGCCGGTCCAATCACCACGCCAACATCGCCGACATGCAAAGGTCGCGGTGTCCAACGAGGCATTGTGACCAAACTTTGAACACGCTGACCAATCTGGAAGTCTCCAAGGCGTCGCCGACCTTGCTCGATGCGCTCCTCAAACTGTTCAACCTTGCAGATATGATTGAAACGGAGCTTGCCCCGCATCGTTGGGTTGCCACCGAAATTTACCCACACTTCATGAGGTGGAGATGCTGGCCCAAGGATCTTGCCTTCGTCGCCAATGCTCAGCGGACGCGGTTCCCAATCGGGATATGCGACCAAACTCTTACACAATTGCCCAACTTGAAATCCACCAAGACGTTGTTCAAACTCAACAGATTTGCAAATTTGGTTGAAATCCGACACCGTGCCGAGAGGCATGAAGTGGAGTGTCCTCAGGTCGCATTGCGTCCTCTGTGCTCAATATGGCGATAACTTTTGAAAGTCCCACATCCCAAAGTTCGGGGCGCTCTGCGGCGCTCCAGGGGCTTCCCGGGTGATTTTTCCAGAGGGCCCCAAAACGGGCTAAGAGGGCCCCAAGTTGGTCCAACAAGGGGCCCCGAGATCGTTCAAGAGCGCCCCGAGACGCCTAGGATTGCTTCACGACTGCGCAATAAGTCCCCACGACACCACAAGAGGCCTTCGACGAGGGCCCCAAGAGGCAACTATACTGTACATCCCTTAGGTTTCTGAATGGTTTCAGCGTTCTCTCCTTTTCGGGTTGCCGACGCTCCAAGACGGCCCACGAGGCCCCCACAATCGCCCCAATACAGCCCGAGAGTCCCACAAGAGGGCCCCACGACGGCCCAAGATGGCTCAAGGCGGCTCAAGAGGTCCTCGAGACGGCCCAAGAAGGCCCCAAGATGAGTCCCAGAGGGGGAACTCGAATTGATATTTCGAGCCATCCGCCCCCCAATATGACCCATGAGACCGCCAGCAGGCCTCCAAGAAGCCCCCAAGAAGCCCCCGATAGCCCCCAAGATGCTCAAATGAGGCCCCGAGCAACCCCCAAGAGGCCCGAAGACACCCCAAACCCGATTCCAAGAGGCTTCCAGAGGCCTCCCCAGAGATCCCAACGGGCATCCAAGAGGCCTCTTACCTACAACCCAGGCACAATAGCAGGATGGGCCTAAGGCCACTAGATTCACCGCCCCCTGTGGTCTTACCAAAGGTATGCACAGTATGCTGAGGAGGCAGTTTTGTTTTTTGTTCTAAAATTACTAGTGGGCATTCGGCCCAATCCGCTGGCCACTCAGCAAGCCTCCGAAAACCCAAATCCATATGCCCAGTCGCCTCCAAGACGGCCCAGGTGGCTCAAAATGGCATCCAAGATGCCCCTAGGACGGCGCAAGATGGCCCCGATATAGCCCAAGATGGAGGCAATGTGTCTCCAAGGCGGCCAAAGATACAGCCACGATATCTCCAAGACGGCCCAGGATACATCCAAGAGGTTCCCCAAAGGCCCCAAGACGGCCCAAGAGGCCTCCAAGAGATCCTCCAGGAAGGCCCGCAGAGGCCAAACGCATTGATTCTCTCAAGGTTTTCGCCGGATGCTGGCATTTGCTTATTTTCGGCCTTCCGACGGCCCAGAGGCCCAAGAGGCTCCCAAGATGGCCCCAATAGCGCCCAAGATGCATCCAAGATGGCCCCATGACTGTCCAAGAGGCCCCAAGACGGCCCAGGAGACCTTAAAGACGGTCAACATGGCCTCCAGGATGGCACGGAAACGCCGAAGATGGCCCAAAGTCGGCCAAGAGAGGCCCCGAAACGGCTTCCAACTGCGTCAGACGGGCCAGGAACGTCCAAAACGAGCGGAAATCGCACAACGCCCGCCTTCAAGAGGCCCAAGGAGGGTTCTAAGAGGTTTCCAGGAGGCCCCAAGAGTTCTTCAAACGCTCCCAAGAGGCCTCCTCCTCCTCCTCCTTGTTCCTCCCTCGCGTCTTCTTCCTTTTCCTCCCCGAAGTGTTCCCTGAAGGGTTCCCACAACGGCTGCGGGTACACACAGTCCGGTCCGATAGCGTGGCCGAGCTCTGGCCATAACGTTCGAACTCGTAGGCGCTTCCAGAAGGTAGGAGGCGGCGGTGATTCGCCCCAGGCGCCTTCGTTCCGCCGTCCCATGTTAGCTTGCCACGGGGGTGCACGGCGTGCCAGACTTCAGGTTGGCATTTTTTTTTTTTTTTTTTTTTTTTTTTTTTTTTTTTTTTTTTTTTTTTTTTTTTTTTTAAACAAAAAAAAAAACGCCCCTGTGGGATTTCGGCCCATCGCGCGGGCCACCCGGAAGCCGCCCAATTTTCGTATCCTACCGGTCCGCCAGCACCAGGAGGGCCTGCATGCCTGCTAACATTGCATCCAAGATGGGTCAGATGGCCCCAAGAGGGCCCAAGATGGCCCCAAGATGTCTCCAAGACGGCCTAAGATGCGCCCACGACGGCCCAAGAGGCCTTCAATAGGCCCCCAAAGCAATAATTTATGTTTTTTAGGATTTGCATGATTTTAGCGTTCTCGCCTGTTTTGGCCGTCCGATGTCCCAAAGATGGCCGCAAGACGGCCCAAGAGGGCCCCAAGACGGCCCAAGAGGCCCCCGAGACGGCCCCAGAGATCTCCAAGGTGGCCCTCAAGCGCCCAGAGAGAAACCCACGACTGCCCAGAGGGAGCCCAGGACGGCCTCGGAAGGCCAAGAGGTCCCTTATAGCCTTCGAGGCTGGCCCCCAACAGACCCGCAGGAGGCCCCAAGATGACTCCTCAGAGGCCCCTCGAAGGCCCCCACGAGGCCCCCACGAGGCCCCCAGATGCTCCCAAGAGGCCCGCAAGAGGTCCCCTAAGGGGCCCTCTACGAGGCCCCTCAGAGACCCTCAGGTGTGTATCGTGGTGGCGTTGGCCGCGACCTGGGCCCTGAGCCCCATCACGCACGCCCAAACAATCTCTGCATAGGTGGTGGGAGCCCACGCCATCTTGATGGCTAGGGCCGTCGCCACGCCAGCCTTCCCGGCAGGAGGCTCCAACGATGCGGACGTCTGCAACGTGTGTTGCTTCAAACGCCAGCGGTGCACCTGCCGCTGCGGCGCGGCACGGTCGAGGAACCCGGGGCCTCCTCAAGGATCCCAGCAGCAACCTCCGGGGGCGCCTCCTCGTCGGCCGCTCCTGTGCGGATTGAGAGCAACCTTCCCTGGCAAAGCGTTTCTGTGCACAACCACCTTCGCTGAGACTGGCCGGGCCCAGCCCCAGGCCGAGCGCTTCGACGCAACTGCCCCGAGGGTGACGAGCCGGATGCGCGTCTGGAGATCCGCACGCGAGAGCTGCAACGACGTGGAACGGGAGATGCATGTCGATGCCGGCGTCCCGCTGGCGGAGCAACAACGACAACAAGAGCGGCCAGCAGCGGGTGCTGCAGACGCGGCGCCGCCGGGGGGGGGCCCGCCAGCGGACGATCACGCTACCGCCGGCAGCCGCTGCACCCGGCCCGCCGCCCGCGATTGCCCCGCGCTCGGGTGCCGCGGGGCCTGGGGGACAGGCCCCGCCGCCGCCAGCCCTTGCCGACGACGCTCCCGCTCCTCCGCAGAGGCGCGCCCGGCGTGCCAGGGTCGGTTGCTATGCAGGTTGCTCGCGTGTTGACATGGGCGAACACAATCTGTCGCAAAATTCGGTGTGCCAGCGATAACTACCTCCACTCCCGCTATGAACGCGCGCGCCCGGGGTGCAGCCCCACTGCGCGTGCTTCCGCTGCAGAGGCTGCGCCAGCAGCCTGGCCGCGCGGCTTGCCCACCTGGCAGGAGGTCTCTCCCGACGAGCGAACACAAAACACTGCGTGCCCAAGGGGGCGCGGGTCCTGTGGGCCCACTGCCTGGCGCAACCGGCGGCGCCCGCCGTGCGCCAAAACACGGGGGAGGCGTGGCTCCAGTTCTCCGCCCGCCCGCGCGCGCGCGGGGCCGCGGCAGGGAGAGCGCGCTTCGCTTCGGGCAGAAACCGCAGACTGGCGAGCCGCCGCGAAATCCTCCGGCGCGACCCAGAGAGCGCAGCGCTGCCTGGAGCTCGCGGCGGACGCGCAGTACTCCAAAAGCTTCGCGGCGCTCACCATCGAACCCCCGCGGAGGTCACTGCAGCAGTGCTGGAGCAGTTGCGCCAGAAGCACCCGTGCAGCCAGCGACCAGTGGACGCCGCCAGCCTTCCCGCTGTCAACGCGGCGGCGGCGCCTCAGCTATACGCTGCTTCGCTCGAACGCGAGGTGTGGGCCTTCCCCCAGGGTTGCGTTCTGGGCACCCTTGGCTTGCGACCGCAAAACCAGAATGACGCGTTGCAGACGGCAACACACCGCGACGAGGTGCTACAGCAGCTTCTCGGCCTCGCCAACCTCCTCTCGAAGGGCCAAGCTCCCCCGGGCGTGGCGGACTACTTGGCTGGCGTCTCGCTGGTGGCCCGGCCCATGAAGGACGGCGGCCTTCAACCGTGGGCCGCGGGGGAAGCCGTGCGGCGCTCGGTGGCGAAGCCTGCAGCCAGGTCTCCGACACCGCCCGAGACCGCCTCGCCCCCTTGGAGGTGGGCGTCGCCCTCCTGGGCGGCCGTGAGGCGGCGGTCCACGTGTCCCGACAATGGTTCGCGCGCCACAGTGGCAGCAGACAGAAGGTGTTTGTTAAGCTTGACCTGAGCAGCGCCATCAACACGCTCGACCGCCAAGCCCTCCTGCAAGCAGTGCACGAGGAGTTGCCCGCCTTTGCGCCCTGGGCTTCCTGGTGCTACAGGGCCCTTTCCTTGCCCTGGTTCGGCTGGCACTCGGTCCGCCCGGAATGCGGCGCGCAGCATGGATACCCCTTGGGACCGCTGCTTTTCTCCTGAGCGCTGCAGCGCGCTGCTGCGAAGGCCCTACGTCAGCCTGTCCTGCGGCCGACCTTCTGACCTGACCTTCTTCTTCCTTGACGACGGCACCCTGGCGGGCGATTGCTCGCCGTGGCGCGCCTTTTCCACCTGCCAGTACGAGAACTGGTAGCCGTGGGGCTCCGCCAGAGCACGGGGCCTGGGAAATGCGAGGTGGTCCCTATTGGCGGCAGCGACATCGAGGTGGAACTGCAGGCCTTCGCCCTGGGCTTCAGCCTGCGCGCAGACGGCTGCTTCGGACTCCTGGGCGCACCAGTCGGCAGCGACGCCTTCTGCCGCGAGCACGCCTAGCAAGGAGTCGACAAGACCACCGAACTCCTCGAAGCACTCGGCGCTCTCGATAACGCCCAAGTTACGCCCCACCTGTTGCGACAATGCGCTGGTTTCTGCAGACTCGTTTGCTCAGCGTGGGTTGCCGCGCCCACCGTGCAAACGGAACGTTGGTTGCGCTCGACAGCGCAGTGCGCGCCAACCTCGAGCAGCTGACCAGAAGCTCCCCCGCGGACGACTGCTGAGCGGTGCAGCTCGCCCTCAAAGCAGGCGGTGCGTGGCTGCGCTCAGCGGATCGCCGCGCGCCCGCCGCCTAAATACCTGGTTTCCCGCGCGGCCTGCTCTGCGTTTTGCCACCGGCTCTCGGCGAGCTACTCCGACGACGACACAAGCGCCGACGGCGCTCTGGGCGCTGCCGAAATGTCTTGCGACGTCCAGCTCCCGGAGGCGGACAATATAACGTTCGACGCCGGCCACCACGGCGACCAGCAGGGACGATCTGTCAAGCTGGGCGCAGCCACTAAGGCCGAACTCTGGGAGCGAGGCTGGCGCGCCACCAGGGCTCGCCTCTCGCTGTTGAACGCCCCTGGTGCCAGCGGCTGGCTGCAAGCGCGGCCCCAGGCCGAGGTCGGCAAGGACTTCCTGCATGGCTTAAAGCAGATCGCCCTTCAGAAACGCCTGCGGGTGCAGCTGGCGGGTGAAGAAACTTCAAGCCCAGCCTGTGGCGGCATCGCCGGCGTCTACGGTGACCACGCGTTGGTGTGCCCCTGGTGCGGGGACCGCGTGAAACGGCACAACGCCCTGCTCGACCGAAAATTCTGCGCTGCGCAATCCGCGGGCTTCCCCGGAACCGAGCTCGAGCGGCCGGGCCTGCTGCAGCCCCGCGAGCGAAGGGAGGGCACGCCCAGAACGGAGGCCGACGGCGGCGAGCTTGACGAGAGCGGCCTGCGCCCAGCGGATGTGTACATCCACCGCTGGCGCAACGGCGTCCTAGCCGCCCTGAACTTCGTGGTCACCTCTGGGCTGGGGGGCGACCTTCTGGCAGCCTCGACCGCCGCGCCCGGCACCGCCGCCGAGCGCTGCGAGGATCACAAGCACCAGCATCTCGACAAGGCGCGCAGCTGCAGCGCGGCCAGCGTCACCTTCGCCCCCGTGGCGATGGAGGCGCAGGGCGACGCATGGGGCAAGGAGGCGCTCCGCGCGTTAGCCACCAGGGCGAAGCCACAGGGAAGGACCACAGGGAAGGACGACGTCTTCGTGGCGGCGGAGCACGCCCAGCGACTCTCGCGCTACTGTTGCGCAAAGAATGTTGGGGCCGTGTTCCGCGGGCAGCAGGCGCCGCTCGGCGCGCCCGCGGCCTGGCTGGCCGCGGCAACGGCAGCGCGCGCGGCGGACGTTGCGTGCGGGGCCACCTTGCTACGCCCCCCGCCCCGCCTGCCCCGTCCGCCCCTTCCAGGGGCCTGACCGATGGACGCCCACCAACCTTCGACCACGAATTGCCGACGACAGCCCGCGCCCGCCCCCCGGCCGCCCCATTGCGCCTGATTGCTTCGCGCTGCCCCTGCCGCTCCCCTCCCTCCTCTTTGCCCGCGTCTGTTCGCTGCGCTCTTCTTTTCTTTCCTTTCCCCGTTCTCTTCCTCCTCTTCCTCCTGCTCTCCTCCTCCCCCTCCCCCTCCTCATCCCCCTCCTCCTCCTCCTCCTCCGCCTCCTCCTCCTCCTCCTCCACGACGACGACGACGAGGGCCAACCCAGCGGTTTTTGGCAGCTTGGCGCGGCCCGTCGGCCTCTCAGTAGCCCGCAGGGGGCCGGGGACACACGCCTCCTGTCGTCTCTCCTCCTCCTCCTCCTCCTCCTCCTCCTCCTCCTCTTCCCCATGCTCCTTTTCCTCCTCCTCCTGTCTGCACGGCGCCGTGCCCTTGCACGCGCCCACCGCCCTGCCCTGGCAACGCGAAGACGGCAAGGAGCGGCCGTCGCGTGTTTGTTTCCCTTCTTGTGTGTGTGTGTGTGCGTGTGCTAGGTGCTGCGGCTCGCAGGCCGGAGGGGAGGGGCCAACTGTGTTTCTTGTATAAGCACGCTGACGCAGGCTTAAGACGCTTCTGTTAAGCCCCCCCGGAGGGCCCAAGAGGACCTCAAGAAGCCTCCTCGTCTTCCTCTTCCATTCCTTTTCCTTCTCGGTAACTGCTCCCTGTCGCGCCCCGTGGCCAGTCGAAAGGGAGAGCCGGGCGATTTGCCTGAGACTTCCTCACCACCTATGACCCAAAAGCTTAAACTTGGCAGCAATTTCGCAAATGGAGAGCGAGTGGTTGTCAAACAGTGGCTATCGTCTCAGCACCGCGCACATACCTTTTAACGACTGCAGAAGCTTCAAGGATTGATGGCGGGCCGTTTTCAAAATGTGGCTCTCGCCGTAGTGCCGCGCGCGCTCGTTCTAAATATTTGCAGAAAGTTCACGGATCGAGGGCGGGTGGTTTTCAACATGTGGCTCTCGGCTTAGCGCTGGGCACATTTGTTCGAAAGAATCAAGGATTGAGGGAGGGTCGTTTTCAATATGTAGCCCTCGCCTTAGCGCTGCGCACATTATGTTGAAACATGTGCAAGAGATTCGCGGAGTGAGGGCGGGTCGCTTTCAACATGTGACTCTCGCGTTAGCGCTGCGCACATTCGTTCGAAACATTTGCAACAGCTTCAAGGATCGAGGGCGGTTCCTTTTAAAACTGTAGCCCTCGCCTTCGCGCCGCGCGCTTTCTGTTGTCACGAACTTCACGCATTGAGGACGGGTAGTTTTAAAACGTGGCTCTCGCCTTGACGCTGCGCCCACTCGTTCGAACAAGTTCCAATCATTTGACGGATCGAGGGTGGTTCCTTTTCAAAATGTGGCTCTCGCTTCAGCGCCGCGCACACTCGCCTTGACTGTTTGCAAGAGTTCCACGGGTTCCAATGGCCAGCGTGCCAGAAATGGTGTTCTGGAAAGAGTCAGGATTGTGAGGGCGCAACAGATTTATGGATTCGTGGTGTCGAAGTCCCAGGAATGGTGTTCTGGCCAAATTCCGGATCGTCAAGACGCAACAATCATGTTGACTCGTGGCGTTGGGGTCCTGAGAATAGTGTCTTGGCGCGCTTCGGGGTCTTTCAACGGTTGTCCCCCAACGGGGCAGTTCCCTCCGTGGAAATAACCCTCGTAGGGGCCTGTGAAGAGGGAGCTTGGAGGGAGGATTCACTCCAACATCGTTAATGCGTCTTGCGTTTGCACTGGTCCTCCTCCTCCTCCTCCTCGTCGTCCTCATGCTCCTCCCTCTGCTCCTCTTTGCTCTTCCTCTCCCGAATTGTCCTCCGAGGGGTTCACAACGGCTGGGGAACACATGTCTTCCAGTCTTTGGCCCAACGCTTGGCCGCATGGGGGTTTCCAGAATGCATGGGGCGGCGGAGATTCGCCGTAGGCGTCTTCGATCCGCTGGCCCTTGCTGATTTATAATAAGATTGCAGGCGTGCTGAACACTTGAAGTTTTGCAGATTTGAGCAACTTTCAAAGGTTCCCAATGGCATTCGTTTTGGCCCGCGGGCCACTTAGAAAGACCCGGGCGAACTCGACGACATCGGCCCAAAACAGTTCGCTCGCCTGAAACGTCCTCACGCGATGGAGATGTTGGCCCAAGACGGCTCACGATGGCCTCAAAGGCAGCCCAAGAGGGCCCAAAAGGCCTCCGAATTCGCCCAAGATGTCTACAAGATGGCCCAAATGGCTTCAAGAGGCCCTCCAAGAGAGCCCAAAGATGACGAGATCATTGCATGCCCTCCGGTGCTTGAGGGATTGTCGCGTTCTTGCCTTCTGGGGCTTCCTGCAACCGAAGACAGACACGGAGGCCTCCGAGATTGCCCGAAAACTTACCAAAGAGCCCCCCCATAGGGCTTCAATACGGGCCACAACGGCCCCAAGGCTGCCCCAAAGCGACCCCAAAACGGCCCCGCGACTGCCCGGAGAGGCCCCCAAGACGGCCTCCCCAGCCCCAGGAGGCTCTCCAGAGGTCTCAAGAGGTCCCTTCCTCTTGCTCGTCGTCGTCGTCGTCGTCGTCGTCCTCCTCCTCCTTCGCTTCACTCTCCTCATCCACTCTCTTCCTTCCCCAAATGTTCCTCCCAAGGGTTTCCACAACGACAGGGGGAATCCATATTCCAATAGATTGGCCAAGCTTTGGGCCAACGGTCACATAGGCGTTTGTAAAAATGCAAGGCGCGGCGGTGGTTTGCCGTAGGCATCTTTGATCCGCCGCCCGTGTGGTCTGCCCACCACAATTCTTGGCGCGCTGGACATTATTTTACTGCTGTGACCCACCACAATTCTTGGCGCGCTGGACATTATTTTACTGCTGTGAATCCGTGCAACAAGTTCCCAATGGTTTAGCCCGCTGGCCATCCAGAAAGACCCAGGCGGACCATAACATCAAGAACACTTGTTTCCAAGATAGCCAAGATGAGCCGAGATGGCCTCCAAGACGGTCCCAATATGCCTCCAAGACGGCCAGATGGACCCAAGACGACCCAACATGGACTGAGGATGGCCCGAGAGGCCCCCAAGACGCCCCAAGAGGGCTCCAAGAGGACCTCCAGGAGGGAGGCCCGAGTCACTGGTCCCCATCTGATTTTTGAAAAGCGTCGAACTCTCGACGTTTCGGGCTTCTGGCGGCCGCAGGCGGCCCCGGAGGCCCCCAAGACAGCCCGAAGACGGCCTCAAGGCGGCTCCAGGCCCACAAGACGACCCCATGGGGAACCCAAGGCGGCCCAGAGACCTCGAGGACGGCCCGAAAGCATCCCTGGAGGGCCTCTTAACGGCCCAATGAAGCCTCAAAGACTGCCTCCGAAGACCTAGCGGCCCAAGGAGGCCCCGAGGGCCCCCCAGAGGCCCCGACAGGCTCCCAAGAGGCCCCCCCACCCAGGAGGCCACGAGAGGTCTCCAGGAGGCCTCCTTTTCCTCCTCCTCCTCCTCGTCCTCCCTCTCTTCCTTGTCCTCCCTCTCCTCCCCTCTCTTCCTCCCACAAGTGTTCCACCACTGGCTCCCACAAGGGCCGAGGGAACGCGTAGTCCCATAGCTTGGAGCTGCGGTGGCCCAGCGCCTGGCCGCACAAGCGTCTCCAAGAGGCAGTGGGGGCGGCGGTGGCTCGCCGCAGCAGGCGGCTTCGATACAGCTTCCCCTCCAGCGGTGGATCTCCTCCGAAGTTCACCCTCACCTCATGGGGCGGAGGTGCCGGTCCCACGATTCTCCCTTCCTCGAACAGGTTCAGAGGGCGCGGTTGCCAGTCGGGGTATGCCACCAAACTCTTGCAAGATTGCCCAACATGAAATCCGCCGAGACGTTCATCGAATTCCTCCGCCTTGCAGATTTGATTTAAGTACAGCTTCCCCTGCAACGGTGGATCTCCTCCGAAGTCTACCTTCACTTCATGGGGGGGAGGTGCTGGCCCAACTATCTTACCTTCGTCGAACAAGTTTAAAGGACGCGGTTGCCAATCAGGATATGCTACCAAACTCTTGCACACTTGCCCAACATGAAATCCACCGAGACGTTCATCAAATTCCTCCGACTTGCAGATTTGGTTGAAATACATGTTTCCCTGCAGCGGTGGATCTCCTCCGAAGTTTACCCTCACTTCATGAGGCGGAGGTGCTGGCCCAAGGATCTTGCCCTCATCGCCAATCTTCAATGGGCGCGGCTTCCAATTGTGTTCTGCTGTCAAACTCTTGCATCGTTGACCTATCCGAAGTCCTTCTGGAAATGCCTTGCACAATTCATTTGAAGCAAGGGTCAACACCTTGTCGTCTGGTGGAAAACAACACACGACACACCGTGAATGGATCGCGGCAAGACCAGGTGCCGGGCCCAAAACAATACCTTCGTCCCCCCTCCTGATTGATTTATCTCGCTGGCTAGCATCGACTCTGCTCATGACTTTTGAGCCACGCTGGTACCCATCGGGGCAAGAGAGCAACTCGTCCAAATTCTTTTCTTCATGTGCCGCCTCTTCCACCAATGTCTTGAAGCGCTCGCCAAGTGCCGCCTCATGCAAACACTGCAATGCAAAATTCACGGCAGGGACTTCCATTTGCAAGTGCCTGCCGCAATGACATTTCGGCGCCACCCAATCTGCTGCTTGTGGTAACCATGCTCTCTTAAAACAGACACGACAAAGGGAATGACCACATGTCAATGTGACTGGGTTGACAAATGGAGCGAGGCAAACTGAACAATTCTCCACCATGAGTTTGTCGTCCGCGTTCGTCTTAACGTGGGGAGCCTGCAGAAAGATGCTCCCAGCAGCCATGCTCGAAACAGACACAAGCAACACAAGCAGGGTCGTCAGACCCAGCGACAACACTGAACCCTGGACCATACCAAGATGCAGCGCTTCGCTCGCGTGTCCACCAGGGTCTTTAACGAATTGCCCAATCGCTTCGCGCAGTGCCGCCAATGAGGTGTTCGTGATGTCTTGGTGCATTGCTACCACGTTGCCTTCTTTTCGTGCTGCCTTTACCTCAAATGCTGCTGGGCCACTCACTGATGATGCACGGAAATTGACATCGTGTTTGAACAACGCCACAAGCAAATACCAATCCAACGGCACTTCGGACCGGTTCCACCACATATGTACGTGTAACGCTACCAACTCGTCCTCAAATTCCTGGTCAGAGGCACCCGGGACAGCACCAGGAAATATCTTTGCAAAGGCCATCCGCAGAGAATTTGAATATTGCCGTGGATCATCAAAGTTGCCAGCCAGCTTCACTCCACGCCCGCCGTGGCCTGGATACAAGACGAAACAATCCCTGGCAATATTACTCCGACGGCAAGAATCTGGAAACTGAGCGCAATCAAACGGGAACAACGGCAACTGAGGCACTTCCAAAGCGAAAGGCTCCAAATTGGGAGCAAAAGAATCATCACCTCCAACGTTGTATAGAAAACGAATGACCGCAGGCCCCATCAACTCGGATTTCAACATGGACTCAAGAAAATCTGGCGGTGTTGACGACCGAGCATCACGGAAAACGGGAAACCCTAGAAACGAAAATTTGTCTAGCGGCGTGGAGAGTTGAATCCAGGGCCCACGTAGCTGAAGGCGAGCGAAACACGTCGACGAACGAGCTGGGCCCGTAGAACAAACGGGCTGGCCAAGAACCGCATCGAGCCACCAGTACCCGCGGAAAGCCAGTAACACTGGCAGTGCAGATGTGCATGCGCAGAGAGAAAAGATGACGCTGCGCCGCGCACCAAGGGGCATGTGCACGGTTCATGCAGCAACGGCGAATGCGACCAGGATCGACTTGAGCCCCCACTTGAGCTCAAGTGCCACGAGCCAAAAGCAACAATCCCCTGTGTGTTCGCGCGCGTCCCAAATCACATGTGACGTTGGAGGCTGTGTGCTGGCCTCAACCATATCAACTCATACGTACCCTTTTCATGACGTCGGCCCCCAGATGCCTCGACCCATTCGGTTGTTCTTCCGGAGCCGTTTTTGTGGCGGCGGCCCTGAGGCCTGGTACGGGCCCCTGGAGGCCGAACATAATGAAAACGCTTCCGTCGTGTCTTCCTCATGACTGGAGGGGAGCTGTGGACATGCGCAGCCCCACCAATGCACCCTGGGATCTTTCTCGGGTCGGCTCCGGGCATCTTCCGAGGGATGGCGCGCGTGAGGGCGGGGTACCTCTGGCCCGGAGGTGCCTCCCATGCGCGGCCCTATCCAGTCAGAGCTCGCGCGGCCCAACCCGCGCCAACGCGAGCTCGACGAAGTCGGCGATATTCCGGCCCACGCAGGCCGGGCAGCCGGGGCCGGCACCTCGGGATGCCAGCCGCCCGGCCCCGCGCCTCGCGCCCGGCGTCGCGCGACGGGCTCTCCCGCGCGGCTGCCCTTCGCGCTCCCGCGCGGCCCCCATTGGAGGCGGCCGCGGGGCCTGAGCGTGCTGGGCCCCGAGAAGAGCGGTGAAGAGGGGGGGCGAGGGCAAATGCTGACAGCATCGGTCCTCAGACCCCCTTCAGGGGTTGAAGCTGACTCGTTCTTCGAGGCGCGTCCGGCCGTGGCGAAGCGGCGGCCCCTTCCTCCACCCATCCTGCTGGCCGAAACCAGCTCTGGGCCGCCTCACCCCCCCCCAGCTGGCTCCCACTGCAAGCCGTGACCTTCTCCCCCCGCGCCCCTGTGGCTGACCCAGTGGCCCTCCCCTGGCAGCCTGCCCGATGTCCATCGGCTGCACGCGGGCCAAACCCGAGCAGTCCAAGCGCGCCAGCCCACTAGCTGGCTCCAACCGCCGCCGAGGGCCCCCCGCCCCCTTGCTTCCTTTCCCGCCAAGTCTCGCGCATGGGTGCAGGCGGGGGGCTTCCATTAGTTCCCCCGCCGAACACAGCAATCGAGGATGCATCGCCCATTCATGGCCCATAAAGACATCGTTGCCGGGACCCTGCGGCCGACCCCCACTTTCACCCTCCAAGCCGAGCGCCCGATCAATCTCGCTTGGAGCCCGGCGGCGGCGGCGGCCGAGCCTACGAGCTCGGCGCCCTGCAGCGACGGCCCCAGCGGGCACTCCGGGGCGCCCAGGGCGCCGCCGGCTTCGGAGTGGTCGGGGCTCCTGGGCAGAACCCGAGGCGAGAAGAGGGGCTGAAGCATCGGGAATCGGGCGCAGCAGCACACTTCGCGGGGGTGGCGAGAGAGAGAGAGAGGCCCAGGCGTGATCAGGCGAGACGGGAGGCCTGCTCATGATGCGTGACTTCACGTGGGGGGGGGCATTGCGGGGGCAGAGGTGAGGTGGAGGTGGGGGTGGAGCGGGCGTTGGAAGCGGGGGGTGTGAGGAGCTCTTGGTCTTCCATCCCTCCCTCCTTTGCCTTTCCCTCCAGCCCCCCCTCTCCCCCCCCTCGACCTCCAGCCTCCTCTTCTTCCTGCCCCTCTTCCTCCGTCGTGCTCGTCCTCCCACCACTGATCTCATTCCCTCCCTCTTGCTAGCCCATCTGCCCAGGTCCCGAGGTGCCATGTGCACCTTCGACTTTCGGCAGAGGACGTCTTCGGATGTTCCCTGGTGAACGGGAGGCGGAGGAATACGAAGGGCAAGGCGATGAAGGCGCTACAAGTATGGGTGCGAGTTGTCGGACCCCGAGGGGGGCTCCCGTTCGAGCGGGGACCCCATCCGACAGCACACACTCATATCCCCCCCTGGAGTTCCACACCTCATCTGGGGGTCGGACAGGTATGGGTGCTGATTGTCAGCTCATGTTCTAAACCCAGCAGCCCTCTGGGCCAGGATGGCCCACGACGGCTCCAAGATGGCCCATGCGAGTCCAAGATGAGCTCCAAGATGGCTCAAGACAGCTCCCAAGATGGCTCCCGAGATGCTCCGAAGAGGCCCCGAGAACGTTCCAAGACGGCTCCAGGAGGCGCCCGAGACCTCCAGGGGGAGGCCCCCCAAGTCCTCAATCGGACAAACACCCAAGGGGAATCAATTATTTTTGCGTCCTCGCCTTTTCGCTTCCGATGGCCCTCCGAGTCGGCGGTGGACAAGCCTCCCTTTAGCAAACCTCCCCTTAACGAAAACGGCCTAGGACCGAAACCGACGGACCTGGACCCGCAAAAATGACGGCCGCGACGCCCTCTCGCGAACCGAAAACGGCCAATGCCTTAATCGACGCGTCAGAATAGGAGGTCTATCAACCTCCGACCGAGGCCTCAAGGTGGCTCCAAGATGGCCCAAGAATGCCCTAGGAGAGGCCCAACAGAGCCCCAAGACGACCCCCAGAAGCGCCCCACAACGCCCCAAGAGAGCGCTCCAAGAGGGGTCCAGGAGAAGCCATTTTCGGTGCTCCTGAGTGGAAGTTCCCCTCTATTTTGATCGCTGTCCTCCAAGATGGCCCAAAGAGCGCCCCTAAAGCTGCCGAGACCGGGCCCAGGAGGGCCCCGAGAGGCGCCCAGGCAGCCCCAAGAGGCGCCCACGGGGCCTGGAGGAGACCCCATGCGAGGCCTCAAGAGGATCCCCGACTCTCCCTCCTTCTCCTCCTTCTCCTTCTCGTCATCCTCGTCCCCGCCCTGCTCCACCTCTCATCCGCCGCCCGCTCCTCTGAATCGAAAACATGGTCCCCAGACTATCCTTCACACTACTCTTGAATACTCCGCCCTGCAGAGGGGCACGCCCGACGTGACGACAGGCACCCGACATGCGGAGCAGCACGTTTTTTGGGGCGGGGCGGGCTAAGTGGAGCCCCGGTCGGCCGCGGGATGGGCGAGCGGAGGCCGAGGAAGCTCCACCCCCTGCCAAGGGCGCCCTGCAAGGACGCACACACGAGCAGATACGCACAAATCCAAGGATCCCCGATGTTTTTCTGCCGATGTTCTGGATGTTCGCCTTCCCCCCCCCGCCCCTTCCCAGATTCTCCCCAGCTCTTCCTGGGGGTCGACGATCCACCGTGTCCGTGTTTTTGTTTCCCCTCCTGACCAGGAGGAGGAGGAGGAGGAGGAGGAGGAGGAGGAGGAGGAGGAGGAGGAGGAGGAGGAGGAGGAGGAGGAGGAGGAGGAGGTGGGCCAGTCCCCCTGACGTTGCCCCCGATGGTCGTAGGGCAGCGCCGAGAGGGCGGGCCGCCCGAGAACAGGCCAAGGGGCACCAGAGCCGAGTCGGTCTTCCGACGGCTGGGTGAGCCCGGCCCCCCGAGCCTCAGACCTTATGCCCTGAGTCTTGAACCAATGGTTCAAGACTCAGGAGGTGGCCCCTCCTCCTCCTCCTCCGCCTCCTCGCGATCCGTCTGGCCCCTATGGGCCGCCAGGCGTGACAGAAAACCGAAACCCCGACACAAACTGAATCCATAGTTTCTCTGATCATGAGCTGTAAGCACTCATCAACCAAGCTTGAACCAGACCGTCGGAGCCCTGAGTCCGAACCCAGGCGCCAAGCTGATGAACGCTGCAGCCAGTGAGGTCTTCCGACGAGGCCTGCCACGGTCGGGGTGCATGCGAGAGGGCACGCGACAGGACACGAGACTCTTCCGACAGCAACGTCGCCTCCAACAGCCTCGGGACACAAGGGCACCCTTGGTCCGAACGTGCAGAGGACACAAGAAGGGATGGACAGGACACAAGACAAAAGCTTAGCTGCCCCGATACTCAACACGCAACACGTACCTATTGATACGGAGCTCAACACGTAGGCTGAAAACGTAGGTCCGACGCGATACGTTCGCCAAAAGCGTGGTCCAATATACGTGGAGCCAACACGCAACGTTACTGACACGGACGTCTCGAACGCGGGACGTGCTGCGCTCCAAAATGGGCGTATCGAGGCAACGAAGGACACAAGAGTACCCTTGTTTTTGCAGGGCCGACCTGCCAGTGCACACCCCGACTGCAGGCTGCCCGAGTGCTCGAGGCCGTTCCCCGTCCTACCACGCCGGGCAGGCAAAGCGCTTGGCGGCAGCGGTCGATCGACGAAGCGATATGAGATCCCGACCTCCTCCTCTTCCTCCTCCGTTGCGACTGGCTGCTGCTTGTCAAGCCTTATGTTGCTCCCATCGTAATTACTTAAAGACCACATCCCAGAAATAATCTCGAGCACCCGGAAAAATGTCGAAGCAGTGTCGAACGAGTGTGTCCCAGGGCCCGACAGGTGAAGACCCTCTCGAGTTTCGGTACTCTCTTGGTGCTCGAGATTCTTTCTGGTGGTCAAGGCTAAAGTAGGTTGGAACATCATAAGTCAAGCCAACGACCCAGACTCCCGCCGCCATGATACTTCCAAGACTTCGACCCCAGAGCTCCTGACCCATTCCACGGGACCGGCTTTTCATCCCCGGTCGGTGCTTGCCGGTCCCGAGGCTCGGCACAAGGGCCCCCAGAGGCCGAGAACAAAGGAAAACCTCCGTCGTGATGTTGCATGAGTCTGTGGGCATGCGCAGCCCCGCTGGCGTACATTCTGGCCAGCGCGGACCAGGCACTCGGGGCCGACCCTTCGGGATCCAGGCCACCTGACCTCACCAGGGGAACAAAACGTCACATAAACATATAAAAACTCGGAGGCCCGCGCGGATTCCTCGGATCGGCGCTGGACCCCCCTCCCTGGCGCGCGGAGCGCGCCAGGGGCGGCGCCGGAGGCGGCGCCGGGGGGCCCCGTGCGCCGATCCGAGCAATCCGCGCGGGCCTCCGAGTTTGTATGCTTATGCCACTTTTTTGTTGCTCCCCTACCCACGCCCCGCGCCTCGCGCCCCGCGCCCCGCGCCGCGCTCCCGCGCGGCTGCCGTCGCGCTCCCGCGCGGCCCCCACGGAAGAGGACACCTCCCCGATCGAGGCTGCGCGCTCGGAGGCGGTCGTGGGGGTCTGCAGC